CACACACACACACACACACACACACACCTGGGGAATACACCTGCCTGCAACTCGGCACGCTGCATCAATCCATCTAAAACCATGTCCTGCTGATACCGCCCTGCCCTCCTTTTTGTCTGGAAGGCCTGTGGTCTCGCTGCATCACCCTAAACCGCCCCATAACAGACGAGGGGGGGAGTTGGTGGTGCGTGGAGGACACACTTACAGGTGTTGTGCCTCTGGCCAACACAACAACAAACACGATGACAATCATAATGACGATGATGACTCAGAGGAATGCTGTCTCGCTGAGCGTTTGACCCCTGACTCACCATTAGAAAGTTTCAATCGACCGCCCAAAAGTATGACGATGATGAGAGCAGTTTTCGTGCTATTACCCGTGAATCATAAACCTTCCTCTCATTTGCAAGGCATTGGCGAAACTGCAGAACAGAGAGGGCTATTGTATGAGTTATTTTGTTTGGTGTGTGCTCCGGTGCTTTTGATGTTGCTCTCTAATTACTATGATTACCCATTATTATTCCTTATTAGAACATCAGCTTAGTATTGCAAAGAATTATAAAATAATTTCAAGTTATTTTAAACTCTTGAGTTTAATTACCTAAAGAATCTTGTATGGATGTACAGTGAAGGGTATTGTTGGTGCAAATGATCTCTCAGTGTGATGAGTGTACCTCATGTCTTGGGGGTAATCCTCAGATATGTTTTAATGTAACTTTTAGGAAGAAAAGAAAACAGCTGGAGATTTATTATGACACAATGAGATGAGCCAAATATCATTAATTTCATACAAAAACAGGGGGAGAAGAAAAGGTCAAATGTTTCCATCACGTGAGAGAGAGAACGGCAGTAATTGTAGAATACACAGGCTTCTAGGAACATTTCAAAAGTGGCATTTGTTACTGTAAGTGCTCCTGTATGGTTTGAGATAATTCTCCCATTTATATACAGTTAATACAAAACTGGCCTGGCTGAAAATACATAGTCACAAAGCTGATTTTCCATGATTTTCACTGGACAGAAAAAACTATCGTGCATCTGCGACATTAAAACTTTGCTTGTGTCCTTTGCTCGAATGATAATTTACCCTCTCACATAATCAAGTTGAAAAACTTCAGTTCAGCGGATGCATACATGCATCAGCCGTCTCTATGATGACCGAGGTCAAATAAGTTCATATGCTGAAACATACTGACTCACCATATTAACTCTTCATATTATAATATTGCGGATCAATATTTAACTTTATTCACCACGAATGCTTCAAAATATAACAAAAAAAAGGCACCGTCTTCTCGGCAGAGCAGGCAGCGAGCGGACTGGGGGGGAGGGGGGTAGAGATATTGAAGGACATAAAGGAAAAAGATGAGGATGGAGGGATGAGAAGGGATAGTTTGTGGCCCCAGGAGGCCTATCCCCTGCTGCTGCTGTTGTTGTTTTATAATGAACTCCTAAAGCCTTCATTTCCCTCACTACCCTGAGTGGAGGGGGCGCAGCGATGGGGGCCGCTGAGTCCACAGCCGGATTCGCACGCACAAGCCCTGAGGGTGGCTGCTTTGAGCAGGGTGGGGGGTTGGATGGAGCAAGGGGTGCAATATGCAAGATCCTATGTCTGTGTGTGTGTTTGAAACAGTCCTGACAAGAGACAGGTGAGGGCAGGGATTTTTTGCATATGTGTGTGTGAGTACCTGCCGTGTGCACACCTGTGGTCACTTCAATGGGAGTGATGTGCCAGCATGTGTTTGTAGTGAGGTCTTCCTGTGCGGGTGGGAGCCGCAGTCGGTCGGCTGTATGCTGGAGCTGTCCTCTGTCACCCTGGGACACTGAATGACATAGATAATGTAGGGTGATGCTGGTGGTAACACTATCTCCCGTGTCTGCACTGGTCTGGTTCAGGTAAAGGTTAATATGCCGGTCTGGGCTGCGGCACCACACCGTGCTCTGATAGACGAAGATGAATTGACGGACCGCAGGCTGGAGTGTTTCTTTCGCGATATGTATTATATTTGTGTTGCCAAGCAAAAAGATATTATCCATAGCAACTTACATAGCTTTCAGGTTTATAAATCACCCATTTGCGTAAGAACAGTAGATGTTAACTGAAGCGTAGAAGGCTTGGCAGATACTTTGCTCAAGGACACAAAGCGCCGTCCCGTCCTGTAATCAGAACCTCTGAGCCCCGGGCCAACATCTAAAACCGACGGCAAGACTTCCGCCTCTGAAGGGAAGGTACTTTGATAGCATCAGTGTCGGCCCTAATCCCTAAACACCCTGACATTGCACAGAGAGTAAATTAAATGATGAGGGGAAGGTGGAGTGATGGATTTGATGCAGAAAAAGTGAGGAAGGAGAGAAAGAAAGAGAGACAGAGTTGTAAATACGGCATGGGGTAGGAATTTGGAATGTGAAATGACTAATGCAGTTGCTCAACCCACAACAAGAACATGCACTGCCTAGAGCTATGACAAGGCTGAGTGCATACCTCTATGGGGGGGGTCTCGCTGCAGAGACTGGGGAGGACTGGGATGGTGGCTGAGCTCCTCGCCGTGGGTGATGAGACGCTCCGGTGTAGAGACGGTGTATACACGTGTGACGGTCAATTGAGCAGGCAGCAGGGTTGAAATGATGGATTTTCACCTGAGAACGCAGAAAAAGAGCTGGATTACAGCAGTGACTGCACAAAGTGATGAAGTGAAATACATCAAACCAAAAGAGCGGAGTATAAAAATGAAGGGTTGATTTGCTTGCAAAACACCCAAAGACTGTACATAGAGATGGATGACGAGTCTCGACTTCCTCCCGTTCTCCAGAAATGAGGCTAAAATATCCCGGATATGAACGCTGCCATCTTGCACATTTGGAGCCAGAGTCTGCACAGTGGTCAGGGGAGGGAGCCGCAGAAGCAGAGGACTGTCGATCGACCAATCACTTCCTTGCCATGCAGTAGCCACACTCATAAAGGCTTTTTTATTATTTCCACAGCAATAAAGCAGAGTGTCTTTATTTAATTTCTTTTTTTGTATCAAAATATTGGGTTTTGGACTGTTCTAAGACATTTTGAAGTAACAAACTGTCCCAGTGAAGCACAGACATGCACAGAGAACGATGAACAGAGAGCTGGTGCTTGAGGGCAGCAGCAGCAGATAAGGCAGTGAAGTGTGTCGTGGCAAATCTGCAATCCCACTCTAACGAGACAAAAATCTCTCACAGTGTTTTCACACTTGATTGCTCAGAGGTGCACAAGACAAAGGTGGGTTTGTAATATGCACATGGATGGGAAGTTGTTCTTTCTCTTTATACATTTAACGTGTTCCTCGCCCTCTGGTTGAGGTTGTTTCTTAATGTCAGGATCTAATGATGACATCAAGGTGGGCAACAAAGATTCATTTAGTCAACAAAGGTTACATTGTGCATGAGTCACCATGATCAAATGGGGATATGACCAGAATACATTGTGTATGATCAAAAGGTTACATTTCCCTTACAAGTGCTTGAGAAATGATTTCATGCTTCAAGATGCTCTCTAAATGTTCACCGGTATCTAACCCCACATTGACCAGTCCACTGTCCACCCCCCTCCTCCTCCAACTGGGAAACTCGTGGGGAAGGTTGTTCCCATGCTGCTCCACAGAAACACCTGCAGCACCAACAGCGAGGTTTACATTGCAGCCACTGTGATAGGACGTGATAAGGCCTCATGCAGCTTCATATCTGACTCCCCCCCTGTTCTCAATGTATGGTACTCCTCTGCTTTTCTCCCACAAAGAAACACACTCTGACCTAAATTACAACTGAAACAAAACTTTCCCAGGTCAACAACGTCCGAGAGAGGAAAACACAGATAAAGGGCAGAGCTGTGTGTTCTCTCAACCCGGCAACACTTCTGAAAAAAAAAAAAAACAAGTCTGGAATGTCGTCGTATGATTATTTTTATTTTGCACAGCCACACAATGAAGCCGTCTGTTGACTGGAGAGCTTACGCTGATTAAATCATCAGTGTCATTTAAGGATTCAAATGCACAATAATGCAACATCAAAGTCTATCATCTGTTGAGCTCTGTGAGCCACACTCGACTTAATCATGAGGCTGTGGTTAAAAGTGGATGCATGACTGTGGGTAGGAAGCTGTCAGGCGGGGGAAACCCGGCGCAGCGCTCCGTGCTATGGTGCTGTTTGCGTTTCCATGCCGGTTGAGGCATCATGCGACCACAGGGGTGGACAGCATCTCTCATCCTCAGAGGTGTGGGTGTCACAGGTGGTTTGGCCACAGGGCTGCACACAGTGTGTCTGACAGCTGTGTGGGTCCCCTGAGGTCAGAGGAAGTTAGAGGGGGCCACAAGTTAAAGCCCATGATTCAGATAGTTTATAATAGTTAATGCAGTGTAATACACTCATGCTACACTGAACCTAAAATATTATAACATGAAATAATTCAGTGATAAGATGTTGCTTTAATTCACATAAGCCATGGACCAGAAGGACCCCCTCCCCTTACTAGCAACCATCCATCCATCTGTCCATCCATCAATTCCTCTATCCATCCATCTGTCCTTGCATCCATCCGTCCGTCCATCCATCAATTCCTCTATCCATCAGTCCGTCTGTCCATCCATCCTTTCATTCATCCATCCATCTGTCCTTGCATCCATTGGTCATTTTGAATCTCCTTGGAAGGATTTTGTGTCTCTTTGTGCTGGTTCTGCATCATTTCATTGTTCCTTGCATCACTTCAGGGTCATTTTGTGTGTCTTTGTTGTTTACTGTTATTTTGTGGTAATTTTCAGTCTCTCTGTGGTTGTTTGATTAACCAGCGGCCAATTCATACAAAGGTTCTTATATTAACAACCCGACACCAACATCATCGTCCGACTCCAGCGGGGTCCGCCCCTCCGGTCACGCTTTTCTCACCAAAACCCACCAAGACACTGGAAGCTTATGAGTTTCTCCTGTCAACTCTGACAGGCCCTCATTTGCTTTCATTCAGCATCTCATCACGGCTTCAAAGACAAGTGGATCATCTTGCTCGGGGGTAGTGAGAACATCAGTGTGCCTTCAAAAAAAATGACTGGTATCCAAAAATTGTTGACCTGAGGCAACGCTGCTCCTCATAATTGGCTTCTTCACTCTGTCTGTCTTGGGCAATCATTGCAGAGTTATGATGTATTATATTGCCAGGAAAACATCATTAAGTATGTTGTTTAGAAGTGATTCAGTAACATATCATTTTCCCTTGATGAACAAGGGAGGGGAGGGAGGAGGTAATCACAGAGTACACTGAGCGCTACCAAAAAATAACTGCTGCTGCCGTGTTGTCTAACCAGGAGAGGGGGGCTGATCTAGCGCTAAATCTTGTTTGGTTCCAGCAGGAGAGCCAAAGCATCAGAAAATAACATTCTTTGACGATGCAGCAAGGTGGCCACACACACACACACACACAAACACACACACACAAACACTCAAAGTAACGAAAGGTATTTACTGAATTACAGTATTTCTATTTTATGGTACTTCCATAGCATTTGTTTCAGAGTTTAGGTACTTTTCAGATTAAGATTTTATATGTAAATGTGATCAACATATACATTTAGCTAATACTTCCGTAGTTCTACTTTCTAGTTTAACAGGACTTCTATCTCTCAAAAGTAGTTTTACAGTTTTTGCTATAAGAGATGAGAAAAGATCTGTATAAAAAAAAACTATTATCTAACTCTAACAAATTTCCATTACAACCATTGGTATTATAATAAAACTAGAAACACAAACAAATGGGTCCTAAATCATCTTCCCCTGCAGATTAATAACCAAACAGAGCTGTAACTATGTGTTATAAACACTGTGACATCAAACTAGGTGATCTCTCGGTCAGTCGGAGTGGCGTGATTGTGCTCCACACCTGGAGTCTGGATTCCAGTTTATGCCTGTGGTGCTCAGGTGTGGAGGAAAAACCAGTAAGCTCATCTCATCCTCTCCCGAGGGCTGAAAGATAAAGGACAGACGCAGAGAACCCCATGACCTTGGGAGAGAAAAAGAGAGAGGGAGGCAAACGTGCCTCATGTAGCTCGCTCAGAGAGGGGTTTGACGTCCTCTGCGTCTTCTCTCTGCTGAGCACACAGGTTAAAGCCGTGCACATCCAACCACTGCCCTGGGGATGTGTTATGACAACCGAAAAACGGTGAACAGCGAGAGCAAGAAGTGGCATGAACAGACCTCAAGGTTCCTGACATGTGGGGGTGGGTGAAAAGGACCTCTGTTGAGAAGTGTCTAGCCCGAAGATACAACCATCAACTCAAGTACCATCAGGCAGCCATGGAGAACTGTCTGGGCAGACGTCTGATCGCTGAGCTGGATGAGGTAAACAAATACAGCTATCACTGGAAAACAGGAGCTCCTAACAGCTCACTGCACTGATAATGGTAAAAGGATGCATGAATCTGCATCGCCCACTCCTGGTCTCATCAATTGTAAACCAGAAGGTGATGGAGGGTTGGTGAGAGGTGATTGAGATGTGGTTTTGTTTATGTGCCAGGCGTCGCCTCGGGATGATTTTCCTCCCATTAAATCACCAAGTAAGTATCTATTGTGAAACTTCAACAGCTTCTTCTGGGAAATCCAATCACGCCACTTTCACACAGTACTCCGTGACAGGGTCGGTCTGTGCTTCGCAAACAACTTGTCTCCTTCCTCAGAGACTGTGACGTGTAATATCAGCTTGCTATGAAAAGTTTGATATCATTACGTGTGGCGTTTGTGACCTCAGGCAGGTAGGAAGCCTCTGGATGGACGGCAACGAATATTCCGACACCTTTTTGTGGAAAAAAAAGAGGATGGTCTAATTAGACTGAGTCAGGGCTAGCTGACAAAAGCTCCCCCCAGGACATGTTTCACAGAGTCTTTCCTGTCACATGTCTACATGTCAACAGATTATGCTCTATGCTCTCAGAGCTTGTTTTAGTAGGGGAAAGGATCTTACACTTGTCAGCTATTACGTTCTAGAGAGTATCAAATACAATGGAAAATGCAGCCCGAAGCCTAGATTTAAATTTGTGACACTTAGTATGAGTTCAATGAACTGAAGGAAATGTCGACTTTTCCATTATTGGTCTGATTATAGGTCTGATTAACCTTCCAGGGGACAAAAGAGCAGAAATTGTTCACTACTTGCTGACATCAATAATGGGCCAATTAAAGAAAAATAAAAAATTTTGGTAAGGACATTTCTCTTTTAACGATATGATACAATCATTCCAGAGATTTTCTGTGTGTTAATTACATGACAAACAGAAAAAAAATTAAGATCTTAGCTAAAACAAACGAGTTCTGTATAAAACAAGGGTCCCTCTCCAAGATCAGGATTATACAAAAATACATTAAGAATATAGGACAAGATGGTGAATATCCCTTGTATGTTCTACTACACTAATTAATGCCTACTCCCAGTTGATGTTAGTCACATGTCGTCAGTTGTGTACCTTAGCGTCTAGGGCAGGGCTACCACAGGCTGATCAGACCTGGGTGCATGTCCCCCGCATCTCGGGGCCCAGTTGGAATCCTTCCTCCTGATCCAGAGCCATTAGCTGCAGTGTTTGATGTGTCTTTGATGGTCTGGCGCAGGGCTTGTCTGAATATAACTACAAATATCGGACTAATTTGCAATTAATAATATTATGTACAACAGTGAAATTGAGTAGAACTGAGGGGGTATTGTGGCCCCTGGGGGTCTGAGAATCCAGCCTCGATTCCACGTTTCAGTGTCTGCATGTGTTCAGCATGGTGGCAATCACAGCATTTAGGAATCAAAAATAATAATAACTCATAAAATGATGCAAACAAGGAAATTTGTATTGGGCTCCTTGTCTGTGTGCTACTGAGCTGTACTGACACTAGGTGGAGTATCTTCAGAAAACGATCGTTAGCTGACAAACTATATGATCAACATATAAACTAATTGGGGGAAAAAACGTGTTTTGACGAGTGTGATGTAAGATGAGAAACACTTCACACGTTAACACTCACCGGCTTCGAACAAAGCAGAAGAGACAGAGTCCACATTCTGAGTTTCCAAACAAACCCAGGCGGAGTGAGCGCTCTTCACTTTTTTTGCTGTGCTCTGTCCGGTGACGCGGCGCAGCTTCCGCTTTCCTACTTCCGTACACAAACGCTCGGGCTGATGACGTGTACCATTCTGTACCGTTAGCTAGCAGCTAGCCAGCTAGCTCAGCCACCTGTCAGAATAAAGCTGTTGTAAATAACCTCACGACACAAAGTAAGAGAGGAAGCGGAGCGTTCCGACAGCTCAGGGAAAATGGAGACGCTTTACCATCAGACGAACAGGTGAGTGCGTCTGCTGCGGCGGAACAATGTCAGAAGCTAGTTGCAGCTAGCTAAAAACGAAACTAGATAAGTGGTGTGAACTCTAAATGAGGGATTAGTGGTGCTGCTGCTGCTGTTCACTGATGATCACTAATGTTCACGCTGCATGTTTCGGTGTTTGTTGTGAACCAGGCACATCCAGGAGGTTCAGTCTCTGATGGGAAACCTGGAGAAGACAGACCGTCAGTCAGTGCACTGTGAGTAGTCAGAGCCGCCGTTATTCCCCCTGAAATAAAACCCAACAACCGCACTCCACCCTGGATCTCCACCCGACAAGCCCCCGGTTCACTCTATATCATGTGGTTCTGTATCATTTGATTGAAACACATTAGTTAGAAACTTGCACCACTGAAATACAGAGTCTAGTATGACTGTCAATACTGTATGTTGTAAAAGAAATATTAGTAATGTGACAAAATACAGTTTAAAGACCTTCTAAATTTTAGATTGTCCAAAAGAGGTATCAAAAATGAATAAACACACACACACAATAATATATGTAAATGTGATCAGTTTACAAAATGCACAAAAGCTCCAGGTTCACTCGATATCAAGTGGTTCTGTATAATTTGATTAAAACACATTAGTTAGAAACTTGCACCATATTCAATGACAGACTGTCCATGTTGTAGTACTACCTCCATTTGCCAAAATGTAGTTTAAGTACCTTCTGTGTTTTAGTATATATTTTTCTCATTTGATGTTAACTTGTGTTTTATCAAACTGCTCTGTAGCGTCTGCGTAAACAAGGATTTAACTTAAAGAAAACCCTGGGAAAAGCACTTTGACTCTGAATAATGAAATAAAAATTCAAAATAAGGATGATATGATGCCCATCGGTGTTGCTTGAATAACAAGTGATAAATTCCTAACTGATTGTTTTGTTTGAGCATCATAAAAATATGATGGGTTTAATAATATGGGAAAACAAAGATTCACAGAGCTCAGCAGAGAAGCTGGCTACCA